GTCCCCCAGGTGTAAAGAGGAGGAGTCCCCCAGGTGTAAAGAGGAGGTGGCCCCCTGAAGGGCAGTTCCTGATATTTAAAAGTAGCAGACATAGCTGTTTTCAGTTTTCGGCCAAATGAGCAAAGAACTGTCTGTAAAAGTGGACACACATGACAAACACGTGAAACGGGACATCTACAGCCTCGAAAGCTTCAGCTCAGAGACAATATTTGTCCTCTCACCGCGGTATCACTTATACTCACCTAAAGTGTTTAGTTGGCAGAAATGTGTCGTCAGCGTGAGCTAAATATATCCAGGCAGTTAAATAAGGGCATTGAGCAGCTCAGGGAAGCCCAGCGTAAGAGGATCCCACTGGAGACAGACAGTCTAAAATCGATGGACGGCATTGTCTCACAGTAAAAATACACGAGTGACTATAAAGGAAAGTATTTCCCTGTGACACTGCAGCTCCTGGAATGTTCCACAGGCGTGTGCTCGGTGAAGTTCATCATCACCGTCAATGTTGTTCTCATGTTTTGATGTGTGGTGAAGAGGCCGAGGGTCCGAGCCCGCGCAGCTCTGGATCCAGGTTCAAGGTGCAGTTTAGGGATTCATCACATAAACCAAGTGATTTGAAGAACTCGCGCTGTTCCACGTCATGAACAAATGACTTGTTCTTATTCGGACTAGATCTGGACTGCGCTGTGGTTCTGAATGAGACTGGTTTACCCTTTGGGTGACCATGTGACTCACGCTCCCACGCCCATTGTCAGGGTGTTTCCATGGTAGCTGTCGTGCACGGAACAGTGCACGGCAAGTCAAGCTGAGGGGACGTCGGCCTCGCAGCGTCCAGCTCTGGATGTTTGCTTCTTTTCATTGGTCATTGCAGCAGCCTGCACGTTGTGGCACCAGGACGATTCTGTATAAAATGACTCATGAGTTTCATGATTATTACAAATATGACACATTTGTCATTTGAGTCTAGTGAAGTGGAGTGGAGTGGAGTGGAGTGGAGTGGAGTGGAGTGGAGTGGCCCACCTTCCTGTGTTAAGGAAAGCTCAGAGTTCAGTTGGTGTTTAATGGTTTCATACTGCCACCTGCTGGTGTCTTTGGGACTTGCACAACAAAACACTAAAAACACTGCATGATGCAACTCCAGAGAGATTTGAGCTGAAGTGTTTTTCTTTATATTCACTCCATGAACTGAGTTTTATGTCTGACTTTACATACTTTTTGTGATCATGTTACTTTGTTTAGGTACAGACTGTAATTCCAAAAGTCTCAACTTAGACATGACTAGAGTGAAATGATACAAAACACCCTCCAGTGTGATTATTATGTACATATATATATGTATATATATATTTGTGTTTGATCCTTCAGTGCTCCTTCAGTGAGGTTCTGGTCCGTTTTCTGCATGCAGGGAATGACGACTCCTTTCAAGCCAAACAAAGCTTTAAAGGTAAACGTGGGGAGTTTCAGAGAAGCTTCACAGTTTCTCCGTGCACTTCTTCATTTATTCCTCGTGTCTTGCAGGTGAAGAGGGAGACGGGCGAGAATGCCCCGGCGCTCAGTGACGATGAGTTGGTGGCCATGTCTGTGCGGGAGCTCAACCAGCACCTGCGTGGGCTGACCAAGGAAGACGTCGTACGGTTGAAGCAGAGGAGGCGGACCCTCAAAAACCGAGGCTACGCCGCTAGCTGTCGCATCAAGCGCGTCACCCAGAAGGAGGAGCTGGAAAGACAAAAGATGGAGTTGCAGCATGAGGTGGAGAAGCTGGCTCGGGAGAACGCCAGCATGAGGTTGGAGCTGGACGCCCTGCGAGCCAAGTACGAAGCCCTGCAGTGTTTTGCCAGAACTGTGACCCGAGGGCCGGTGTCACCGGGGAAGGTGGTCACCACCAGCGTCATCACCATTGTCAAGTCCACCAACCACAACAGCACCAGCCCAACCTCGTTCTCTGCTCCCTCCTAGTGCCTGACAGGACCGGGCTCCTCTGTGTCCCCCCCTGCTCCTCCTTGGTTCTGACCCGCCTGCTCCTGTACTGAGAGGATGCTCGGGAGTTTGTTAGACTGAGGGATGGGCTGTGTTGGCAAAGCTCTCTGTGATTATGCTGCATTCATGGTCCTTCTGTCTCTAACACAATCTACACTGTTCACCCCCCTGTCCCTGACGACCCCCCACCCTCAGCACCGGCAGGTTCAGGCCTCTCTGACCCATGACTGATGGCACAAATGTGCTTTAACTCCACCGTAACATCCATTTAGGATTCAATTCAATTCAGTTTATTCATAAAGCTCCAAATCACAACCAAGTTGTCTCAGGGACTTTACAGGAACATTCACACACTTAGTAAAGTTCTCTATCTAAGGAATCCAGCAGACAAGTTGAATCTTGGCTTCGTCTCAGTCTCCCAACCTGAGCAAGCACGGTGGAGACAGTGGGAAGAAAAACTCCCTTTAACAGGAAGAAACCTCCAGCAGAACCAGCTCAGGACAAGAGACCATCTGCTTTGACCGGCTGGTTGAGAGGACAGGAAGGAGAGACAGACGAACACAGGATGGTAGGTCCAGGTATAGGTCCAGGTATAGGTCCAGATATAGGTCCAGGTATAGGTCCAGATATAGGTCCAGGTATAGGTCCAGGTATAGGTCCAGGTCCAGGTATAGGTCCAGATATAGGTCCAGATATAGGTCCAGGTCCAGGTATAGGTCCAGATATAGGTCCAGGTATAGGTCCAGGTATAGGTCCAGATATAGGTCCAGGTCCAGGTATAGGTCCAGGTATAGGTCCAGATATAGGTCCAGGTCCAGATATAGGTCCAGGTCCAAGTATAGGTCCAGGTATAGGTCCAGGTCCAGGTCCAGATAGGATGCAGATACGCAGCCTAGGACATAAAATCTGAGCGATTTAACGGGACAGTGATTTGTTGAGTCATTGTCAAATTCTATTTTTATATAAATTAACATAAAATATTGAACCGATTGAGCCTTTGAAGCCATGGCCTTAACGTGACGTACATGTGAGCTGCAGTTGGCACACGGAGCTTCATGATCGCTACGTTTAAGTTCAGGGGGATTTAGTGTCTGTTTGCTCTCTGCCTTCAAGAGAGAAACCAGGTTAACGCTCCGTCACGGATGTAAAATGTTTACAAAGAACACCAAATACTTTTACTAGTTTCTTACCTAAAATAGTAAATATGCTTCATTTAACCCAGGGGTGTCCAAATATTTTCATATGTGAGCAAAACTTTTCAAATTAAATGAGTCACGAGCCACCAAAATGTGAAAAAGTTAAATAAATAATAATAATAGTTAAAAGCGTACATATTTTTTGTGATTTTATTTTAAACTCAACGTAAACAACGCGATGTAAACAACGCGATGTAAACAACGCGACGTAAACAACGCGACGTAAACAACGCGACGTAAGCAACGCGACGTAAACAACGCGACGTAAACAACGCGACGTAAACAACGCGACGTAAACAACGCGACGTAAACAACGCGACGTAAACAACGCGACGTAAACAACGCGACGTAAGCAACGCGATGTAAACAACGTGATGCAAACAACACAATGTAAACAACCTGATGTAAACAACGTGATGTAAACAACGTGATGTAAACAACACAATGTAAACGATGCGATGTAAACACAGTGATGCAAACAACACAATGTAAACAACGCGATGTAAACAACGCGATGTAAACAACGCGATGTAAACAACGCGATGTAAACAACACGATGTAAACAACACGATGTAAACAACATGATGCAAACACGATGTAAACAACGCAATGTAAACAACGCAATGTAAACAACGTGATGTAAACAATGCAATGTAAACAACACAATGTAAACGATGCGATGTAAACACCGTGATGCAAACAACACAATGTAAACAACGCAATGTAAACAACACAATGTAAACAACACGATGTAAACAACACGATGTAAACAACATGATGCAAACACGATGTAAACAACGCGATGTAAACAACGCGATGTAAACAACACGATGTAAACAACACGATGTAAACACCGTGATGTAAACAACACGATGTAAACACCGTGATGTAAACAACACGATGTAAACACTGTGATGTAAACAACACGATGTAAACAACGTGATGTAAACAACACGATGTAAACAATATTTTGGAGAAAGAACAAAACAGTAATTCTGGTGGAGAAGGTGCAAGTCGTTGTAATGCAAAACGTTAAAAGCTTCATAAACATGAACCTTTTGTTAATTTATTTTTTACATTTAATTCATTTGACTTTATTGATTTATTGCCAAAGGATTGTATTAAACATAATACTTCTTATTTTGAGATATTATCATTATTTATGTGTTTTGCTGTTAAACATAAAAATTATATATAAAATGACATTAAATGAGTAAAATATTTTTGTACATGTGCATCCATCTGTGAAGCCTCTGGGCCAAAATGACATCATTCTTAAACTGCAAATGTGGGCCGCACAAAATCACTCGTAGGGCCACAAATGGCCCCGGGCCGCACTTTGGACACCCCTGATTGAACCCTTGAAGGTGGTTTCATTCACTCTTTAGAAAGAGGCATTTTAACTTGCGCCATTAGAAGACAAGTTGCAGACGTGACTGGAGAGAGTCGCAGTAAAACCGCGTCGCCCGTTTTCAGCCAACACTTGCACAAAGTTCAGGACTCGTGTCTCGCCTGCAGCTCGTTGCGTTCGGTTCTTTACATCCTAAAATTGATGCACCAGAGAGCAGTTTTAGTTTCATCGTGGCAGAAATGTGTTTCTGGTGGATACAGCTGGCGATATCTCGATATTTAAAAATTATTGAGATATATTTTTTTACGATATGAGATTATATCGCTGTAAATGATTTCCGGTGTGGTTTGAAAATGCTCCTGCTGTCGTGTTTCTCCCACGCGGCCCCTTCTTCTCCCTCCTTGAACACAAACCCAGCCCGTGAGCCGCGCTCCCCCGCAGGAGGAGGGCGGGAGACGTTCAGCACAACACGGGACATGCATGACGAGCAGCTCAGCCGGGCGTTCTGTCTGTCAGAGACGTTTGGATTGAAATTGTTGGACGAGGAGCAGAAGATGCAGATTTCTGTAGACATCGCTGAAAAGGTCAGAACTGATCTTTCACTGTAAGTGGAGCATGAAGCGCGTGAAGCTGCAGCTCCGACAGACTTCAGCCTCCTTCCCTGAAACAAGCCACACGTAGGCGTGCCGTGCCTCACGAGAGGAGCTCTGAGCCGTTGCATCATCAGCACTTTATCATGCCGTTAAAGACGCGGCCCTTAGCGGCTAACAAGACGGCTAACGCTCAACCATGTTGTTCCACAGCCGAGACTGGGACGGCGTGCAGTGACATGATGAAGTGCTCATGTATTCATGTCGCTGCTGCTCCTCTCGTGGTGAGGCCCAGCACGCCTACATGCAGTGGATTATTATTTAATATATGTAAATAAATGTCTAAAAAATATGAATATATGTAAACCGTTTATTTTTTAGACATTTATTTTGTACAGTTAATAAATGTGGCTGTGTGACAACTGGGACAAAGCTTTGACTCAGAAATATATTGTTGTTACTTTATGGAAAGAGAGAACTCTGGAGATATGTATCATACATGGCGCTTTCTGTTCAAAATATGGATATATTGATTTTGGTCCATATGGCTCCGCCCTGCAGTTGGAGAAAGACGGTGTTTGGGAGGTGATTCCAAGTCACAAGTTTCTTTGTTTTATCTAAAGACAAAAGTGATTTGATGCTTTTAAAACTCGAGTCAAATGTAAAGTTTGAACAGACTGAGCAAGTTTATTGTGTCGTAGAAGCACTTGAACTGTAAAGATGCAGTTTAAAGAAGAAGAGACTGAGCAACAGAGCTGAAGCTGCGAGGAGCCATCATCATCCTCATCATCATCATCATGAAATGTTGTGTGACTTCAGCTCAACCTCGTGCAGCTCCACGTGCTCTCAAGTGTCGAGGACTGCAGCACCTCGTGGTTGCTGCTAATCCATATTGGATATCATGGTAATCGGAGCGGCCTTTTATGAACCCGTTGGTCCATGCACTTCCTGTATATTACAGAATCTGATGAAGTCCGTCCGTAAAGAAATCATTCCTGCGGGTGTGGACACGTTGTGCTGGTGTTGGCTGCACACGCACGTCAGACGCACTCTTCTACCACCGAGCTCGTGACAACACTTTCACATAAAACATGAAACGGTGCAGTCTGTCGCTGAACCGTTGACTTTCTGTGATATTTAAATGTTCAGTGAACTTGAAGCTCTTCTCACACACGATCCAGTCCTAACGTGGAGTGACGTCAGTGGACACTGTTCACGTCACGACTTTGTCTTGACTAAAGAGGACACGACTTCTTCCTCGTTCCACAACCGCAACAAAAAGAGACAGTTTGGGGAAGTTTGCTGCTGCTGCTGCTGCCGTCCCACCTGCTGTGATGATTGAAGCGTGTTCTTCCTCTCGCTTGTTATTTTCACCTGATTTCTGCTCATACACAGCCTGCATATACATCTTACATATTCATATTCATTCATTCATATACATCTTACATATTCATATTCATATTCATTCATACATATACATCTTACATATTCATATTCATTCATTCATACATATACATCTTACATATTCATATTCATTCATTCATACATATACATCTTACATATTCTTCTACGTGTCCTTGAATCGGTGGGATTATGGAATCAGTCTTTGACGTCCAAATGTGCCTTTCAAATGACAGAAGTTGAATTGAACAAGTCACTTCATACTTCAGCTCTTTCTATTCAATTAATGATTCCCGTTTGTAGAATTAGACAGAGCTTATTAATTATTAATTACACCATGTTTGTAGAATTAGACAGAGCTTATTAATTATTAATTACACCGTGGTTCCACGCAGTCTGCAGCGAGTCCTTTCAACAGCTCAAAACACAAAGCATCGACTCCTCTGGTGAGAGTTTCCACAGGTGATGATGTGATCCAGCTGCTGTAAGTCCAGATGTGATCATGTGACCCAGCTGCTGTAA